GCTGGCAGCCCTGCCGTCTCCACCCCTGCCAGCTGAAGAAAAAGGGCTGGTGTAGGGGGCTGATCACAGGGCTCAGTGGCATTTATACCATCGCAGCGGACCTGTTTTGGGGACAGCCCAGTGCAGGGCACAGGGCGCGAAAGAATCTCTTCAGGACTGTGCATGCGTGAGGGATAAACCCAATAGCGGCAGCTCTTAGAGGGCTACGCCTATACTCATAGAAGCTTGGGTTACTGTAGGTAACCATTGTTGTCATAGGAAAATTAAGATCTCAAGGAGTAAGTTAGCATTAAATGATTTGTAATATAAATGTTTTACAGTTTATAGTGAAAAGGCAGAGATGTCGAGAAAAAAAATAGCTTAGGATTTTGGGTTGTAACGTTTGTCATTTTTTTCTCCATTTTTATTCTTTTTTTTGTTCAGTTTGATTAAATGTGCCTTTTTATGTAAAGCACTTTAAGTTGCCTTGTTCAAAGGTGCTATACAGAGACTTGCCTTGTCTAATGCATATCTGAATTTCCATTAATGCTCTCTTGAGAAGGTCTTTGTAAAGTACTATACAATTATTTAAACATTTAATACTATTTATTATGTAATTATTTATTGATAGGAAGCACACACTCTACATTTTCATGCTCTGTAAGTTATCAGTACCTCTGCACAAGTGATACACTTGCATTTTGTTTTATTGGAGAATAAATCTCTCCTCTAGTGTGACTTTCAGAATTCAGGCTGATTACCTTTTTTCTATGATGCTGGGGTTGGCTGTCACCAGATGTGTTCTGGTACCCACATCCTCCACATATTCCTTTGAGAGCGGTGGAAGGTTACACCTAAATTAAGAAAACACATGTAGTGGCTAAAAATAAACAAGGTTCCAGAGGTAACAGTATGTACTTCATATATAGATATTATTTGAAATAGTTATATAAGGCTGAGCTAAGTGTTTACGGAAGCTTGATCTGTTTCTTGCTCAAGCAAGAATATCTTGGGCTGGGTCCCCCTTGTTTAACCTATGGGTCAACATCCCGAGTGACTTCCTCCTTAGATGGGGAATGGATAGCTGAAGCCTTATGTGCTCTGTTCAGGTTGAGAAAAAGGAAATGTGCGCTAGGTCAATGCGACCTAGAAGTTCACATACTGGACATTTTTAGACAATGCTTGGAAGAAGGTGTGTGTGGGCAGCTGGCGTGTGACTGCGCCTCATGCTCAGGCCATGGAAGGCTGTATAAGTGCGAGCAGATAAAAGGCTAGGAGAGCTGGGTTAGAGAGAGAGAGAGAGAATGCTACTGGGACAGTAAACTGTGTGCTTTTTGGGGAATCCCACCGGGGGGAGACTGACAAATGACTGTGGGTTGACAGAAAGACTGACTCGTGACCAACAACAACTGACTGGACTGACGCTTTTGACAATCTTCTTATTTAATGCTTTATCTATCACATTGCAGGAGGAGAGTCCCTGTTCTCTGTTTCCCTAACTACAAGATTATCCGTTTAAATACTACCCTATTCAGAATAATTGTAATATTAAATTGGGATGGTTTGTCTGAATTAATTTTAGTCGGCATCACACTCTAGCCACAACACACACATGAGAATTTTGATTTACATTAGCTATTCAAACACAGCATAAACCAGGAAAAGAAATTAATTACATCTTTAAGGCTATTATAGCAAAGAGATTAATTCAATTTGAGAACGACTGCTCTAGAGATCTGTGATTACTTGTCAGGAACTACATCAGAAACAGTAAAGGAGACATTAAAATGGACTGACATGTCTAAAAGGTGGTTGCACAATTTTTGGCCTGCCACAATGGGCAGAATGGTTATTATATTTTAAAGAGCTGGTATTGTGTGAACAAAACAGCTTTGAGATGGATGAGGGTGATGGCAGTGTCACGCTCCTGCCCCTCTTGCTTCCTGTCAGGCTTTTATTTTCTCATCACTTCCTGTTTTGTTTCACCTCACTTTTGGCCCTTTTATTTAATCATCATTAGTTCACCTGCTCCTTATTGTTTGCACCTGTTTTTCCCTTCTATTTAGGCAGCGTCCTCCCACCAGGACGCTGCCAGATTGTTCTAGACCCCAGCTCTGACTCTCCAGCATTTATCCCTTGCCTGACTCTCTGTGTTTGACCTAGGAT